GAGAGAGAGAGAGAGAGAGAGAGAGAGAGAGAGAGAGAGAGAGAGAGATATGAAAATCCCACCTGTGCAAAGTACCTAGACAGGTGTTGATGTCATAAGAATAGTGATTAAAAAACTTAAAATATTCAGATGAACTCTAAATAAAGCAACAATAGACAGGGGCCAAAGATCTAGAAGGAACAAAGCCCAGAGGGTCAGCTGCAAAGCTAATACCAATCCTGAGTCCCCAGAGGAGATGAAGGAGAATGGTTATCAGTCACAGCCATTGAACCATGAGGGTGAGATGACTCTCAAGTTAGGCCTCTAAGGAGGCTGCCTTTTGGATTTCCATAGGTAAACTCCCCTCCTGCCCCTGCAGGAGGAATCATGCATGGCTTTCCCTGACTGAGTACCACAAGACCCCTGAGTTTGAAAGTAGGGGCTTGCCCTCATGCATCTGGAATGCACATGCATACCAACCACCACAGTAAAATTGAATTCACAGTTAAACATATCTAGACATCTGAAGGAACAGTACATCATAAATAAGAAGCAACAGAAAGTCAAAAGGCATTATGGCCCCTGCTCAAGAACTTCACTTATTTAAAATAGCAGCTAAAAACGTGTATGTTTGAAACCATTTTTAAAGCCAAAAAGAAAAGAAAAGAAAGAAAGAAAGAAAGAAAGAAAGAAAGAAAGAAAGAAAGAAAGAAAGAAAGAAAGAAAGAAAGAAAGAAGGAAAGAGAGAGAGAAAGAAAGAAATGGCAATGTGAGACAATAAGATATGGTTTAAAAGGCAGTGTGGAAAACTCAGTCAGTCAAGTGCTTCTCTCTTAAGGATGTAGACCCAAGTTTGATTTCCAGATGTAGACCCAAGTTTGATTTCCAGAATCCACACTGAAAAGGTGCAGTGATTCAAGGTCCTAACACCAGTGCTGGGGGGAGGGCCCAGGGGTTCCCTGGCCAGTCAGCTAAGCATACTGGGCAAGTTCAGGCCAGTGAGAGACCCTGTCTCAAAACTCAATGTGGAAGAGCTGGATAACAATGCTTACTGCTCTTTCAAAGCACCAGGACCCACATCGATCTGCTCAGAGCCATCTACTCCAGTTCCAGGGGATCCTATGTCCTTTGACCTCCTCAGGCACATGTGATACATGTAAACTTACGCTGGTACACACAGAGACATAAAAATAAGTAAATCTTAAAAACAAATGTGTAATCACATCAGGAAAGCTTCCACACACATACATGCACCTACATAAACATGCACCCACAGGAACGCACACCCTCAAAAGGCTGTTAAGGGAAAAGCTGAATGTTGTAAAGGACCATTAGCAGTTCCCATAATTCTTGAAAGGTGAATTAAAATTCTTTAAAAAGATCAGGATATCAGTAATGGATAAAATGGCAAGTTAGGCAAAAGTAAAGAAAGTGCTAATGAATTTAGAAGACAGATAAATATATTGATATAAAATACATAAAGACCATGAATGGCCAAATCACAAGAGAGGAACTGACCCGCTACAACAACAACAACAACAACAACAACAAAAATGTGTGTATGTGTGTCACAAGCAATCAAGAAAATGAAAATGAAAACAAAAACTGAGATATAATCTTACACTCCATCAAATTAGCAAAAGGCAAGGAGAGCCAATGTCTGTGGAGGCCAAGCACTGGTGAGAATCTGAGCAGCAGACACCCTCACACTGCTGAAGGCAGTGTAAGCTCTTACAAGTGTGGTGCCAGGCACAATAATGGGCCCCAAAAGATGTCTGTGTGCCAGTCCTTGTAACCTGTGAACATGTTCTATATTACTGCATTCCAGATAGAATTAAAGTTACTACACCAACTAAGAAAACAACCCTAGGGGTCCTAAAAGCCAAAGAGAGTAGGCAAGTGAGATGCATCATTGGATAAAAGCTCCTGCCATGCAAGCCCTGATGACATGAGTTCAATCCTTGGAGCACATGGTGGAGGGAGAGAATCAACTCCTGGAAGCTGTCTTCCAATCTCTACACACATGTCACGGCACACGCATGCACACACATAGTAACTAAAATGTTTTAAAAGGAAGCAAAAGAGGGAGGCAGAAAATGGAATCAGATGAAGAATGATGACAACAGAAAGAAGCAGGACCATAGCGTCACCATGTTTCTAGCTTTGAACGTGATGGAAGGGTCCACAAGCCAGGAAATACACACCAGACTCTAGAACAATGGTTCTCAACCTGTGGGCTACAAATGACCCTTTCACAGGGGTTTCCTAAGACCATCGGAAAACACAGATATTTACCTTATGATTCATAACTGTAGCAAAATTACAGTTATGAAGTAACAATGAAATAGTTTTATGGTTGGGGGTCACCATAACATGAGGAACTGTATTAAAGGGTCGCTGTGTTAGGAAAGGTTGAGAACCACTGCTCTAGAAGCTAGAAGAGTCAAAGAAATGGCCCCTGGAGACTCTGCAAGGACCATGGCAGCCTTGCCTACACCTTTCGCACCGTGCCATTCTTGTCAGGCTGCTGAAAACAGAAGCTAACAAATCTGAGGGATTTCAGGCCTTTTCCTGTTGATTTCTTCTGGAAACCAAAAAAAGTTATGTCTTTCAGCCACAGAGAACGTAAACAAATCAGTTCCCCTGGATAAAAGAGCAGGCAGGAAGAATCCGGATAAGAGGCCAATTTGAATGAAAATCAGCATAATGTGGAATGGAACAAAACAGTTTGCCGCGGGGTCTGTCTACAGTGTACCTGTCCATGTAAAATTATAAAGCGGGCAAACAGCTAAAAGATGTTTATTGATGCACATATGTAAATAAGATATAAACACGTTCACAGCAACTTCAGGGCGATGATTACCTCTGAGGAGAAAAAAAACAGGAAGCACTTGTGGCACAAGGTGAAGATTTGGTAAAGCTGGGTGATGGGTACTCCATTGCTCCTTTCATCACTTATGCTTGCCTGTGGGCTTGAAACATTTAGTATTAAAAAGAACATGTACATTTATGAATGGATTTTTTTTACAGGATTTCTTCATCCAGATTTGCTCATCTGTTACAAAAAAAAAAAGATCAATTGTTTTGCACTTTTTTGTGTGTTTATTTTATTGAAATTGAAATCAGTTGAAAATGAGTAATCTAGGGGTCTCCCCTCCAAAGCACCCAGGGCCTTTGCTGGAGATGGTACTAAAAGTCACACAGCAGTTTCTGTCCCAGATTCTCGCTACAGTCCCATTCAATGGGACTTTTCCCATCAGCTGACCAGTGTGCATCCACAGCCAAGTTCTATGACCTAATGTGTTCTGCATCAACTGCATATTGAATTAGAATTTCCTGGATTTAAGGAGAAGCTCTATATAAATATTAATAAGCAGAACCCAAACAAAATACATTGCTTGGTATTAAATTGATGAAAACAGTGATGGGAACAATTTCTTTTTTAAAAAATTATTTTATTATTTTATGTATACAGGTGTCTTGTCTGCAAGCACAAGCCAGATGCCTATGGAAGCCAGAAGAGGGCGTGGGTCCTCTGTAACTGGAGTTATGGATGGTTGTGAGCTATTATATGGATGCTGGGATCAAACCGCAGTTCTCTGGAAGAGCAGCCAGTGCTCTTAAATGCTGATCCATCTCTCTACCCCAGGAAAAACTTTATGTTTTAGTTTTTAGTTTCAGTTTGGGACGAGGTCCTGCTGTGTAGCCCCGGCCTGTCTTGAACTCATTATATAGGCCAGAACGGGCTCAAACTTGTGGTCATCTTCCTGCCTCAGTATGGCTCTTTCAAATTCTTTAAAAAATTAAAAGTATTTCCAAAATCTTTTATTCTGTAGACGAATTGATAAGACACATTTGAAACTAATTCTATGAAAAAGCAATCCTCAATTTTTTTACCCAAATACGTTGTTTGTCCGTTTTAACTGAATATAAATACTGGTATTCTAGAAATCTAAGCTTTCTTTCCTTTACGTTCATAGTTAAATGTCTTTTGTGTGTTAACATCTCCCCACCACATAGTGAAGGTTTACATATGTGTAGTTTCTGCTTGTTTGATTCTTTCTGTGTATATTTTTTTTTTCTGTGAATAAAGCTAACTTTAAAGTAGAAATAAACCACGAACTGGGTTGGGGTAAATGTGGCCATTTGAAGAGTGCTTCCCCGGCATGTGTAAGGTTCAACCCCAGCACCACTGCCACAACAAAATGTGTAAACAGAATCAAGAAAGTGTTCTTCTAGAAACCAAATCCTCTGAGACACTTAAGTAAGCACTTGACAGCGTTTTGCGGGGGCAATCCATAATATAAAGCGGTAAGCAGCTGTTCCCCACGTGTTGGTGCATTTAAGTCCCTACAGTTTATGGAAGGTTTTTTTTTCCTCAGGTTTTACCATTTTGAATGCAATTGTCACACACGTCTCTGAGGCAAATCACATGCGACAAACAAGCTGAGTGTAAATCCCCCTTGAAATAGTGCAGAAATCAAGGATTTAAATTTGCATTGCTACCTTTTAAACTATTCATAAAAATAAGGCATAGCTTCCATATGTCCATTGTCTCAAGCACGCCCCCCACCCCTCAGGAATGCAAGCGCATTCCTTTGCACATTTTTTTGGTTCAGTTTCGTTTAGGTTCACGCTTGTAACACTGCTCACTTTTCATTTCAATAGCATCCAAGTGTTGCTTCTCATCAGGAATTCTTTATCGGAATTGTCTCCTTAGGGTGTTGTCTGGTTACTGTTAAGTGTGCCTCTAACCCCCATGGAGCATTACTCAGGAAAAAATTTCCTTAGATAATAATGCTGGTTATATCATAAAATACCCCCCTTGTGAAATCACTTGGACTCGTGCGTCAGTGACTAATTTTTTTTTTTTCAGAATGAGCTAGTCTGTTAATTTTAACAGAACATTTGGCTGTTGACTGTACTGCTGAAGTACAAAGATTATTACATTGACAATGATGTTATTTCTATTGCTTTGAGGTTGATAAAGTCGCTGTTGCCTCTATTGTTCTCCCAATAGGAAATGCCATGCTGTTGAGGGTGTTACCTGCTGTGTATGAAAAGCAGCCACAACCAATCAACAGACACCTGGCAGAACTCCTGGCCTTGATGTCTCAATTGGAACAGACAGAGCAGTACCATCTACTACGGCTTTTGCATGTAGCAGCAAAGAGGAAAGATGTGGAGGTAAAAAAGTGTACTGCGTCTGCTTGATATCCGCTGTATATGATAGGCACTCACTGTGACAGCCCACACAGCCAGATATAGTTCTGGATCACTTGAGCAGGATTAATGTGCTTAGGATTTCCCTGTGCATACGTATATAAGCAAAAGCATCTACCTGTTTATAATACATTTGTACAAGAGGAGTGTGTGTGAGTATGTGTGTGTGTGTGTGTGTGAGAGAGAGAGAGAGAGAGAGAGACAGAGAGACAGAGAGAGAGAGAGAGTTGGTTCATATCACTATGGAGGTTGTCATCTGTCCTAGAGACTCAGAAAAGCCAAGGGCACAGTTCTAAATTATACTTTAAAAATGCCGGAAACTAGAGGGCAGATGGTCTAGCACAAGACATCACATAGAGTGTGAATTCTCTCTTCCTTCCCTTTTCCCTTTGTTTAAGTCCCCAACAGATTGACTGATGCCTGTCCATAATGAAGGGGAAATCTCCTCTCCTCAGTCTTCCCATTCAAATGTTATTCTCACCCAAAAATATTTTCACAGACACCCTGACATGTTTAACAAGCATCTGGGCACCCTGTGATCCAATCAAATGGACACAAACTTAACCATCACAGTCACACTGATAAAAAGCAGCGAGCGTGAATCTGCAGCCAGTGCAGGGTAGCTTCAGTGCAATTGAATGTGCAAACAGCTCTAAGAATCTGTATTCTCACAAGCAGGGCCAAGAGAAAGAATTACACATGAGTTGATTTGTGAGTAAATGTGCCCAGAGTCGGGGCAAAAGGTCACTTTCTAGATAGCAAGTCAGTTGTCATTCTTTATGTCCAAGTAGCATACTGACAATTTGGATGCTTGTAATTAGCAAACCACAGTGGTTTCAATGGTGAAAGGAAATTATAGGTAATGTGATAGTAAACAAATAAACAACAAGAACAAAAAACTTACATGAGGCTTGATCTAAAAGACCAAATAATGAGAATGAAATAATATCTCATTCTCTCTTTCCATTTCTCAATAGAAATCGGATACTGTGAGGAAGAGGTGGCTGATGTAGATTTCGGAGGGCTGTGGATTCAGCCTTGGGGGAAAATGGTACAGTGAAGTCCTCTCGTGGGAGTAACATCCAGCTAGAGCCTTAAAAATGCACAGTCTGTGGCAGGGAGAGCAAGGGACAATGGACCTCCAGGAAAAGGAGCAGGGTTAGGAGTTACTAAACACTAAGTATAGCCTTCCCATGATGCCCCAGGACAGAAACCAGGAAGCTGGCCCTTACCTCAGCTGCATCCTCAGAGATCTTTGTTCAGTAGATCAGGCATAAGCCATAGGCTGTTATGACGGGGATCACAAACCAGAAAATAAAGTCAGAGGCTTGGCAGGAGACTGGGAGCTGTGTGCTTCTTCTGTGCAACTTCACTTTTGTCCTTGGGATAATAATAATAACGATAGTATATTATTATCATGACTTATTATTGCTTTTATAACTTATCAATTACTATTATTATGGCTTGTCAGCCTCTTCCAGTTTACTATAAACTCCTTGAAGATCATAGGACATGTCTACATATTCACAACTAGTCCCTAACTTCATGCTGGGCAGATAGTCGGGGTTCAATAGGGACTGAAGAGATAGTTCAGCAGGTAAAGTGCTTGTTGAATATGCATGAGGACCTGAGTTCAATCCTCAGCATCCACATAAAAAGCCAGGTCTCATAGTAGCATATGCTTGCAATACCAGACTGAGAAGGCAGAGACCAAAAAGCCCTGGGGCTCACTGGCCAGTCATCTTAGCTTAATTGTCAAGCCCCAGGTCCCTGTGAGAGACCCTGTTTCCACAAAGAGGGACTACAGCTCCTGAAGAAGAATACCTGAAGTTGACCTCTGGTCTCCACACAAACACACACACATGGATGTGCACATAAGTAAATAGGAATGCTCATGCACGTATACACACACCAAAGTGGTTAGAGGAAGAGATTATTGAATAAATTAGAAATGAATTGATTATTGAATGAATAAGACACCAAAGGAATTAGAAGCCTTAATCAACCGGGAAGAGTTTTAGTATGGTCTCTAAAGGGGGAAACATGACTCAAGAGAATCATGATCTAGAGAAGTAACAGAGGCTTGAGATAGGAATTGACCCTGGCCTGGCCATCTGGACTCGCCAATGACCCCAAAGAATCAATGTATGTGGAGCTGTGCTGAATGGAGGCAGATTCTCATTGTGGGTTGCAGGTAGAAGAAAAGGTTAGGAAATGACCATCTGAGTATGGACTGCCAACTCAGGAAATCCAAAGAAAACAGGAAAAATGAATACACAATAAGAACAGAGAGACAGAAAATGTGAGAGGAACCATGATTACCAGGGATGGAGCTGGGGAAGAGGTGTTTAGAAGATAGGGAACCCGGAGGGACTAAAAGGCCAAATATGGTGCCCATTTCATCTGTGGCCTGGCAACTAAAACAAAACAAATGTGATTTTCAGACAATGGTTCTAGAAATTGCAACGTAAAACAAGACGCCAGGGAACCTTCGGCAGTGTGGTTCAGATCACAAGTGTAGGCGTCAGTTTCAGAAAGGCTGAAGGACAGAAAGGCTGGGGAACATCGGTTATAGATGGATGCGAAGCACGGCTGTGGGATCTTTGAGCCACCTACTAGCAGGCCCATTGAATGGGCATGGTGCTGGGTTTCTTCATTACTGTCACTGCTTTAGAAAGACAACATAAATTCAGTGACTTGAAAGCACACAGATGGGCTTGGGGTTTTTCAGGCCAAAGTCCGAAATAGGTCAGCAGGGCTAATTCCCTCTGTGGGCTTTAGGGATGAGTCTGTTTCCTCGCCTTTTCTGGCTTCCAGGGACTGTTGGCTTTCCAAACACATGATCCACATCACTCTTGCCTCTCTTTTTCTTTCCACATCTCAGACACTGGTCCACCCCGACTGTCTTCTCCAGACCCTTATAATTCCATTGAGAACACCCATATAATCCAAGGGAATCTCCTCACCTCAAGATCACATCTACACAGTTGATCACATCTGGTTCTTCTTGCCACATAAGGTACCATACTCATAGGCTACCTTAAGAAAGGGCTTATGAGTTCCCTATGGGAAGCCATTGTCATGATTACCAGGGATGGAGCTGGGGAAGAGGTGTTTAGAAGATAGGGGACCCTGAGGGACTAAAAGGCCAAATATGGTGCCCGTTTCATCTGTGGCCTGGCAACTAAAACAAAACAAATGTGATTTTCAGACAATGGTTCTAGAAAGACTAATTTGATCTACATCAGCTCCTCTCCCACAGGGCGAGGACTGAGTGTGAAGGCAAACAAAGCCAGTGCAGACTCAGTTAAAGGATGAGGGAAGAGAAAACGCCCTGAAGTCACTCACACTAATTAATGCAAAGAGGTCCAAGAGTGCGGATGACTCCACATGTGGCATTCACAGAGGTCCTGTCGGAACATTACAGCTGTCAAGAAGCAAGGGGAAGGGCCTATGACTCCAGTTAGGTACTTCTTTCTCACCACTTCTTGGCCTCAAAACTTCAAAAAGCTAGTCTGCTGGTAGGTATTGTTTCATGGGCAGTGGGTATTCACAAGCATGCTGTGTTTCCTTCTGTAAGGTTCTTAGCTCACAACTCTGGTCCTGTCCTTGAGACAGACACTAAAATGCTAAAACTTTCTCAGAATCAATCCCATTTCCCCAATTCCTGGTCCGTCTCTCCTCTAAAGCACCCTGAGATACGAGGACTATCTTGCTTTGGTACCACCCTGCTTAATGTTGGTCTCAGCCAACAAAGGATCCCATGACTGGCTTAGCACCTGGTATACAGTAGATATATTTCTCATATGGAGAAGTTAAAATTAGTGCCTAAATTTTCACTAAGGACAGACCTTTGGGGGTTACATCTGCTTCATGGCCTTCCATGATGTGAGAACCCCCAACAGGGACTGAGCTTCCCAAACCATGCTTTCCACACCATGACACTCTGAAATCCTTGAAATCATGAGCTAAAACGTATCCTTCCTTGCTTAAGTTGCTTCTCTCGGCTTTCTTGTTGAGGAAAAGTAACTAAAACAGAGGTTATTAGTGATAGCTCTAATCAGTGCTGTCACTTGCGGGGTTTCCCAGGTTCCTGTTTGATTGGTTGGCTGGGTTTGTCTTGTTTGTTTGTTTGTCTTGTTTGTTTGTTGAATGCTGTGATTCTCATCACCTACCCTTTGTGACCAGTGAGAACATGACTCTCAGAATTGGTCAGTAGTGGGCCGCTGAGAAACTGTTCTTCAGACCATGATCTAGCTCAGGGATTGTTCCCCTTATTAGCCCTTCCCTCCCTGTAAAAGCAGCCCCTCTGGAGACTCCCATCCAAGGCTCTACAGAGACAGACAGTTTCTCTACACAAAGCTGATAGTCCATGAATTCTCAGCATCCACACATCTGTAAGCTCTGAGAAGCAGATGGGTGGCCAGGCACACCTTTATCCTTCTTCACAGACGCTGGGTATCATTCTTTACGGGACACTATTCTTCCCAGATAGAAAGGCAGTTCCTGGCCAGTGACTCATGGTCAGCATCCCCAGGGGAACCTCAGGATCCATTTATAGGAAAAGTCTGTGTGGTCAGTTTTCCAAGTTGCCTTTGTAAGACTAAAGTCAGTGTTTTCTTGGCTGCCGTGGGACATCCTGCAGTCTAGCTAGCAAACAGAACATAATTTATTAATGTGTATGCATACATGTTATTAGCCCCAGGCACAGGCTTCTGGCCCCAGGCATGCAAAGATGAGTGACAGAGAGTGGCAAGTGGAGCTCTCCCTCCTCAGTGTTCAGACCCAGAGGAACCGCTTTTGCAGTCCGGTCCTGAAAGGAGAGTCATTTCCTGGGTTTCACACAACAGAGTAGAACATTCCTCTTCTCCTGCCAAATCTTACAACACCTAACACATCATCCACCAGGCCAGTCGCCAGGCCCACAAGGCTCAGGGGTCACTTTGCATAAATGCTCGAAGTCATTTACAAAACATGAGAAGATTGAGCGATGGGATGTATAGACCACTCAGAGACAGTCTGCAGAGCAGAACCTGTTTCCCAGAACATCAGTGTGGAGGAAATAAGTAGTGGTAAACAGAAAGAATGGCAATCAGCTTTGTAGATTCATAGAAATTAATGAAGTCTTGACACTAGCTAAGTTAACTAAAATAGAAATTTTTGCTGGAGAACGAATTTAAGTGGTAGTGTACACACACACACACACACACACACACACACACACACACACACACTTTGCCTTATCTTCCATATATAGGTCTTGAAATGCCATTTACTACCAACCAAACAGGGCATAATTTCCCGATGGCCCTAGTCTTGAGGTGCCCTTGGCTTCGGGGAGAGGTAGCCACAGAATTTCAACTCTGTGATGAGGCCAACATTATGAACTGCTATGAGGGATTCAAGGAGAAGAGCCTGGTGTTCAGGAAGAACCAGAGAATCCAAGGCTGAGATTCTGCCCTGGCTGTTTGCTTTGGAGAGTTCTGTTCAAGCCTCTGCCCGCCTGCACTCTAGTTTAAACCCACAGCCCAGGGCACTAGGGCCTTGGAATTTTTTTAGACACCTTGAGCCTGCCTCTGCTGTTTCTGCAGGGCAGGCTCTTCACAGCTCAAGCTACTCCAAGAGTATGATTGACTATGGCCCTTATGAGTCCTTTGCTTGCTTATCTTACCAAAATAACAGGATTCAGGAATTGGTAAAGAGAAATGAGTTTATTTGCAGTTTGGGCCAGAACAAAAGGGGGAAAATTCTTAGTTTTTCCCATCTTTCCTGTTGTAGTCATACAATTTATGGGGAGTGGGGGTGGGGGGGTGGGAGTGGAACAGCCAGAAAGTGCATGTCAGTAGATTTAGCTGTGAGGTAAGCTGTCAGAACTGTGAGAGATTGTCCTGAGGGGGATCCCTTCATGGAAACAGGCTTCAAGCTATTCTTATTCTTAACATACTTTCTGGAGAAATTTTAATTTTTAGGGTCCACCTTACACTGTTAAGTGACCTCATATTCCTGAGAAGTGGCTTAAATAAGCCTGAGATAGCCACAGGCAGAGGAGAGGGGGTGGGGTCGTCTCTTTTACTTCCTCCACCCAGGCCAGGCCAAAGAAGGCAAGTCGGAATGAAGCATCGTAGACTGTTACAAGGCTCATTCATCAGGCAGAAGGATTGCAAGGGCTGCTGAATATTTGGATGTGTGACGTGCAGGACTCTCTTGGTACCCTAGCCCTGGGTCCTCTGTCTACAGCGTGGGCAGAAGGGAAAGTCGAATGTAAAAGCAGGGGCTTCCTCTGTCAAGCTGCTGAAGCAGTCAGCACCAGGAAGGCCTGCCATGGGGAAGAAGCAGCAGAAACACCCCTAAGTGAAGACCCTGCAAGGCCACAGCTTGGGCTTCTGGCCTTGGGCCGTGAGGGAGTCTTTGAAAGTCTCTAAGGGAAGCTTGGCATCATCAGGTTGGAGTTTTAGGGCAAGGTGCTCTGGAGGCAGTGGGCAGACTAAGCGGAAGGGACAAAGGAAGCCATTGGGGGCTTCTTTCAGTAGTAGAGACAGGGGGAAGACGTTTATGTCAGCTTCCTCTCTGCCTGCCATCTGTACTGTCTCTGTGACTGCTCTGCTCTCAGCTGGGACAGGGCTTGCTCCTAGACATGAAGTCAACCCAACATGACGGCACTGGAGACGGGGGCCCTGCGTGTGTGTGGAAGATAAAATTTCTCCTGCCAGGGCATCATTCTCAATGTGTGGGACAAACTTCGAATTATCTTTCTTTTCTATCACTGTCATAATAAACTTGGTATAATAGGAATTCACAGTGAAATACTCAGCTTTTGTTTCATGTATAAAGTCGTCATTGCTGTTTACAGTATCCAAGATGGCTCTGCTTTCTGGGCCTTCTCTGGAGTCATCTGTCCCTCTCAGGGAGTTGGGGGATTCCTTTGCCTGGTGCCTGCCTGCTTTTCTGTTTTGTTTTTTCTTTTCTCCTTCTTTCTTTTTTGTCCTCCGCCTTTCCCCATTTCCTTCTTCTCCTTTTTCCTTTTATCCATGGAAGAATGGACAGATACAGCACAGCCTTGTGAGACTTTGGCTATGTGGCTGGGGTTTAAATTAAAACTCAGCGTTGGCATGTAAAGAACCATGTGTCACAGAAACTTCTTGTTCCAGGAATAGGATCTGAAGGGCAAGGGCTAGGATATGGGGTTTTCTGGAAGGGGCAGGAAATGTGTGAGCATTTTCCATTTCCAAATGCCTCAGGTCAGGTGTGTTTCCCTGACCCAGAGCAGTTGGCTGACATTTTTGCTGTCTGTGCCAGGGACCTCTCGTGGTGTAACCTGACATGCAATCCTTCCCCAATGCACAGGCAGCATTTACAGAGCTGCAGATGTGTGACTTGTCAGGAACTAGCCATGCTCTTCCCTCCCAGAGCACTTAAATGACTATGAAGTTTAAGTCTACATGTTAGGATGATTTTAGTTATCTTCAGACTATCCTTGGTTTGTCCCTGCTCAAATTCTATGTGTGGCTCCCTTCCCGTATCTGTGTGTATTAAGGATTTTATCTCACAGAAAGTCACTTTTTAAATATTAATTAAATAATAATTAATACAATTAATTCTTGTATTCATACAGCAATGGGAATGTGGTGGAAGTCATTTTGCTTTAACAATTATACCTTCTCATGACGTTCTCTGGTAGAAGTGGAGATGGAGAACAAGTGAGAAAGCCTTCCTGCTTTCTTGTCTCCACTATGAAGCATTTCTAAATGGAATTCTCCCAGACCAGAGGCTTTAGTGCCATCAGCCAGCGCTCTTATTCACTGGCTCTTCTGCTGCAGCTCTGGTGGCCGGTGAAGAATGCGAGCATTCCCGTGGCACATCCAGACTTGGCTTGGGCATCCACGACATGAGAACTCTGTGGACTTCACTTTTCAGTAGCAGAGCATGACTTCAGAGGAAAGCAGACTCGGTTGCAGAAGGTTTTATTGTAAATTTTAGATTCCAAAGTCTGGAGATTTACCACGAGTTTTGTAATCCCAGGAGGTGTTGCCTGCTAGTGTACTATTTAATATGTTGTTGTCCATATGCCTATAATCCCAGCACTCGGGAGGCTGGAGCAGGAGGAGTGTTTCCAAATGAGTCCAGCCTATGCTATGTGTGGGACTGTCACAGCCAAGTTTTCTTTTGAAAGTGATTCTGATTTGACTCATGTTTCTCACTGTCTTTTCTTTCTCCTTTATTCCTCTCCTCTCTCCTTGCAGGTGGTTCAGAAATGTGTTCCTTTCCTGATCAGGCATTTGAAGGATTCAACCCACAATGACTACATCCTAAACATCCTCATAGAAATAGCAGGCTGTGAGCCACTGGCTTTGAGCAGCTTTCTACCAATGCTGAAGGAGATTGGGGAGAGAGTCCCCTACCTCACCGGACAAATAGCAAGGATCTTTGGTGCTGTTGGACATGTGGATGAAGTAAGTTTGGCCCTTCTCCCTTTCCCTCTCTTTCCTTCCTTCCTTCCTTCCTTCCTTCCTTCCTTCCTTCCTTCCTTCCTTCCTTCCTCACTCACTCACTCACTCACTCACTCACTCACTCTAACCTCCAAAGTTGTCCAGGACTTCTGAGAGTTTCTATTTCTTTCTTGAAGCTTTTGAGTCACCATGGCCTCTGGATCAATGTAGCAAGGGTCCGTAGAAAGTTCCAGAATTGAGAATTTCATTGCTAGTGTGTCCTTTGAGGTAGAAGGAGGGTTAAAATGGAATAGAAAAATTTTGACATAGTCAAGACCACTATGTAGTGCCAACAGCCCTTAGCAAGGGCTTCATCACATTATCTGTTGCAGCTGTGCTTAGCACGGGACATTGTGAGCGGAGTTAGGTCTCGGAGATGCCCATCCCGAACGCCCATAGCTACCACGTCAAAGAGTGCTCTGAGCATTCTTGGTGATGTTATTTGGGAGAGATAAATAAATGTTTGTGGATGTTGAGAAGTTCTAGTGTAAATATTTGCATAAGGGAGTCTTACAAGAGTGACGGGACAGCATCAGGGGTTGTGAGCATTGCACGAGGAGAGTGCATCTAGCGGTCCAGGTTTTGAAGGCTGTGCATGTGAACGCACAGACACACCGTGTTTGCATAGGTAGTCCGAATTCTTAGTTATCCTGTTAAAAAATAAAAGTAAGTATATAACGGAGGTTTTCACTTATCTGGCTTACATACAACTATCAATTCGATAATATAAAATTGCCCAATATTTTTAAAGAATCCCATAGCTCATCTAAATTTAGTTTTATTTATATATAAATTATATATATATATATATATATATATATATATATATATATATATATATATAAATTGACTCTGTATAAGATAAAGTTAAGAGTCAGAAAGGGCCTGATGGTTTAGTCACTAAGAACACAGGCTGTTTTTCCAGATGACCCAGGTTAGATTCCCAGCACTCACATGGCAGGTCCCAAACCATCCATATAACTCCAGCTCCAGAGGATCTGACATCTTCTTCTGAGTCTGCTAACCTTGTAGTTCATTGCAAGTACCAACAAATATTAAAAATATTAAAAATCTAACCATTTAAAAGTCCTTCGTTAGCTTTAAAGTTGGAATTTTGAGAAACTTTAAAGTTCATGTGTCTTAGGATTAAGCAGCAAGTTAGTGCTGAATATGAGTGAATTTGTTCTTCCCCACATAGAAAAGCTTGTAGTGCAATACTGTCGGAGGCTGGAGCCGAGCAGCTGGATTTACCTGCTTGTGAATTTCTATCAGGCTCTTCCAAAAGGAACAAGGAATTTCACTGAGGCACATGGAGAGTCAGCATGAGGGCCGACATCCAGTACAGCATCCGGGGCACCTATGAGAGTCTAATATAGACGGAGAAGCAAAAACTTTGCTCTAAACAAAACTCTACTGCTGTCTGTGTGGAGGGCTCAGGACATGGGAAATTGGTGGAATATAGGAATGAATGAGGCATACGGTGATTGTGGGTGCTCACTATAGACAGCCACGTGACCGCTGTAAGCCCTGGCCCTTTGAGACTCTCCTTTATCCTGTATTTTATCTTATTTGAAAATTAACACAATTAGAATTTTTCTCCTTGGCACCCAAGTAAACACTTCGGTTATGTTCAGGAGTTTGGCATATTGGGGATTCAAAAGATTATAGAAACACAGAAATGTCAAACCAAATTCCGGATCTTGTTCCTAATTTTGATAAGTACAAACTGGAGCTGAGCGGAGGGAGCCTCCTGTTAGATCCTTGTTAACTGTCTGAATTCCAGCAACAGCATCCTAAAAGTACGCAGTCATCAGCCTGAGATGGCCACAGGGTAGAGTCAAGCATTATTAATTGGCTCATGTCTCACCTTCTGTGTCTGCATGAAGCCAGGCATCAGATCTAAAGAGATGGCTGCTGGGAGCCGGACTGGATGTGATTGTCTGTTAAATCAGGGTCCATCTGGGTGGGCAAACTGTTTCAACAGCTTGGTAGCAGCCTCACAATTTTCCAGTCTGTATTGACCAGCATGGGAAAGTTGTATGCATACAACAAAACACAAAATCCTACAAAACCTGTTTCCTCTACCCTGTAAAATTAACTCAGAAATCTTTTCTGTCCAAATTAAAAGGGAACTATGCTAAATTGCTGTGTTATGATCGGGTCATTGTGGGATGCCATGTAATGACTGGTAGACCATTTCCAAGCATGTGCTTGCATCTGAAACACAATTATTGCATGGAGGGTTCAAATGGAAGAGACCAAAGGGCAAAGAAACATGCTTCTGGGGCCGCCCTATTCCATCCAGTAAAGGTCATATCAGTTCTCCATCACTTGGGGATTTACTCTCCTCCTTTGGGATGCTCAGTTGAATAAATACACACACAAGAGATAGCAATTTAATAGACTCACCCTAACTATTGCAAAAAGTATAAAGGTCCCTTTTCTCCTTTCTCAGGAGAAAAGAGGAGACTGAAATGCAGTGCCCTTTAACACCAGAAATAACTTCTTAATGGCTTATCAGGGTCCATCCCCAAGCACACAGCAGGGCAGTTCATGTAAATACCTGGCATGTAACAATTGAGTTTCAATGACCACAAAACAGCAGCATAATAGCCCTGCCCATGTGGAGAAGGCCAGTAAGGGAGCTTCTTCCCACTCTAATGCATCTCTCTTGGGGTTACCTGCTTTATTCCCAAAGATACTGTGGCCCCTCTTCTCTTCTCTGAGCTCATCTACTATTACAGGAAACTATCAAAATATTTGTCTTCACTCAGCCCTCCTCAGCCTCCTGCTTTTCCCTTGTCTCCTGACTTTCTGTCTACTTGGAATTTTAATACTCCCCTGAACACACCTTGCTCCAGCACACACCTCGATCTGGATAGTCTTCCCCCCCTCCCCTACTTACCTTGCCTACCCTGGATCAAATGCTGTCCCCTATGTGAATCCTTGCAAGCCTTCTCAGGAAAGTGAGTCACCACAGTCTATACTCCCTCAACGCTTGGGCTGCACCTCCCATCTACTAGCTGTGCCAGGTCAGTTTCTCCTCCAGTGGCTGAGATTCCAGAGAATATGAGTCACCTCCTATCTGTCTGTTGTGGTTCCTTCTGTGGCTGTGATAAAGCACTCTGACCAAAAGCAGCTTGGGAAATAAAGAGTTTAAGTAGTACTCTTTCCAAGTCACAAGTCATCATTAAGGAAAGTCAGGGCAGGAACTCCAGGCAGAAACTTATAGGCAGGAATCAAGTAACAGTGCTGTTTGCTAAGTCTCTTTCTGGATGGCTTTCTGGTGTACAGGCTCATGCTCACCTGGTTTCTTATATAGCCAAGTCCAGCTCTCTGTATGGTGCCACCCACAGTGGGCTGGGCGCTCCTGCATCAGTTAATAATGAAGACAACCCCAACCTGATAGGGACAATTACTCAATGGAGTACTTTTTGTTAGAAGAGTCTAGGCTGTGTCAAGATGACAGTGAATGCCAATTAGGAGAGCATCTGAATTTACTTGTGTCCAAAAAAATGAATGAGCACTCAGGAGTGCTATTAATTAATAATTTGAATGCTGGATTCTTATTTGACAATTTTGTTTGATCACATCATTCTCTAATTCGTCTAGGGGACATAGTTATAACAAGAGAGGAAAATAACCAAATCACATTGTATCATACATATATATGCAAACATTATCAATTAAGAAATAAGGTGTGGGTTGGGGCAAATAGCACAATGTTTAGCATGCACATAATGCACGTAGCCCTAAGTTCAATATCTTGTACTACAGTGATTAAATAAATAAACGGATCAATTAACAACAGAGGAGGATGAGATATTAATATGGAGAGGCGGAAAACTTTAGAACCTACACAATTTATCCCTGGTATCTAACTAATGAAAAATGACAGAGAGGACCAATATCTGGAAAGTATGTGATAGAAACATGACCATCTATGATACCAAAGGACCCTGCCTCCCTGAATGGTGGCCTAAATGAACGATAATTCTGAATTGACCATGAAAATGAGTGGCCAAGAGCCCCAGGCTGAAAATTCTCAGAAGTGCAGCTACAAGAGGGTCCATTCATCTCTGCACTGAATGTAGGATGATCACCAGCAAAGATGTCTCATGAATGAGCTTGCTTACAATGGGGCCATCTGCACAGCATCATATGGTGACATGGGATCTCATGCCACCCGCCTCGGTTTCAATCCTAACTCACTCACTTTCCAGCTATGTGGCCTTGGGTAAGTCAATACAACTTTTCTTCACTCACATTCCTCATCTGCAAGTTGGGAATTAGTGATATTATTCACCTCATAAATTTGTTGTGAGTTTAATGAGTTAAACTGTAAGTCAGTGTCTAGAAATTAATGCATAACCAGGAGATGTCAGCATTTTCTGCCTTTCCTGGTTGTTGTCTGATACTTTTTCATCGCATTTGTTGGTAGACAAGCTGAAACTTGGGCCTAAGACTGAAATTAGGAAGACAGCAACCATATAAATGGCGGGTTTTGTCATTGGTTCTGCAACGTTGAATGGATGTGTATATGTGGGACAAGTCAAATTACGGGCGAAGAGAATTAGAACAAATTACCAGAGACACCTACAGGCATCATTAAAGATGGAGTGCAGAGCCAATTACCTGCACCTTTTTGAACAAACTACCACTCTATGCGATGTCTGCTGTATATTGATATTTATACTGATAGACATCATTCCTGGGGAAAATAAGAGTAACAGAGATATAAGGGCGTATTTCATGAGTTTTGCCTTTGGTTCTTGGGGCACTAGAAACACACTGCTTTCTATAAATGGCAGGTGGTCCCAGCAAACCCCCCCCAAAAAACCACTCAGTATGCTCATAAAAATTCTTATCTTTAAACTCTCATTAGTAAGATGTGAAGGGGGCTAAATTGAGTCCAAAGTGGGGTGTCGTTCTTGTCCATGGAGGATAAAAACTGAATGTCTTTC